AATGTAAAGTGACATTTCTGTGTAAAAAGTGACAGGTATGTGTAAAAAGAAATTAATTATTTTGTTTTGTATTAAAAAATAATTAAAAATAAATGGTCTTAGGAAAAACATTGTATTTCACAGATTTATTTAAGCTGGTGATAATGCAAAGTCGCTTTTCAACACTTAAAATAAATAACTATTTCTTCTTATATTTATTTTACCTTAAGAACCATAATGATTAATATAAGTTGCTTAAAAAGTGTAAATGTAATACATATTTATTTTATACGATTTTATTCATGCATGATGTCTTATTAGATGCAAGTGAGTTGTGCGCATCGTATTTATACCGGCATTATTTGCTCCTCTACTTTTACGTCTGTTTCATTCTTTTCGCTTTTTTTGGCACTTAACTGCTTTTTCCTCATATTGACTCGATTAAGTTTTTGCCTATTCTAGTTCTTACTTCGCTTGATTTCTTTTGCCCGTCCTCGCATTTCAAATATAACTTGGATTGTGATAAGTAATTCTATATATAGGTATAAGGAAATTTGAAAAGGACAATTTTCGGGATCTAGTTTTTTTTTATATTTTTTGACTATCCAAATATTCTTACAATTTAATCAAACTGTATTCAAAACAGCTCACTTTTGTACTGTACGTAATGTAAGATAAATATTTTATAGCTTTAGTTAAAAGTTTATTAAGTCAGAGTTCGACCATTAGCTAATGTTACCGCAAATAGAAAATGTATGTAGTTAGTGTCTCTAGTCCAAGAAGCAATATTTAATGGTGGTTAAATAAACTTAAACTTGGCTCCTTCGAATTTGCAACAAAGTAAATTGGAGTTGCAACACCTGTTACATTGTTGTTCTTGTAATAGAATTACAAATAATGGCTTCCTTTTTGATCAATAATGTTCTGCATTGAAATTAGGTCAATATTTTAAAGTTATACTTGTTTTAAAGGTTTAAGGGTAGAATTTAAGTACAGCTTACGAAGGTTCGAATTTTTTTTTAGGTTTTAAATATATAAGTATATACAAGGTGTCTCTAAACTTAGTGGCATAAATTTAGTAAAAGATTAAGCAAGTCAAAATAAGACGAAAACCTAAACAAATAATTTTACTTATGTTTCAAAAACACAGGGTGATAAAGTGTTATCAGTTTTTTAATATAACTTCTACTATGGTAGACTTGAAAAGGTGATATTTTGAGAACATCCACTTACTACCAATACAAATATGCACACAGAATTACAATTGTTTCAGTAAAAACAGTGTCGTAGAAACGGGGTTGCTCTAATCTTATTGTCCTATACAAACTTTGAGGTTAGTTTTTTATAACATTTAATGTAATTTTTCACTTCGGCTACTATTAAAAAGGTGTATCTTTTAAACTTTAATAAAATAAACCGTTTCCGAGATATTCAAAGTTACAATAATTGTTATATCGCATTCACAAGGAATTTTTATTTTTTAATTGAAAAAACTAAAAAAGGCATTCCATGAGCGTCGGAAATTTTCATCCCAAACATCACAATAATAGTACGATGAAAGGTCTTATAACATGAGTTCTTTATGCTATTTTATCTATTTTGCAAAAATTCTATAAAAAAATTTATTTTATACCTTAAATTTAATTTGGTCGAATTTTACTTTGGATAGTTAATATCAGTCATTGGTTTGACAGTTAATGTCAATATCGATTCGCCATGCCGTCCTTAATTTACTTATTTACAATAAGCGGCTGTTAATGTTAAAGAAGAAAAAAAGGATTTTCTTTGGTGTTAAACAAATTTTATTGCCAAAAAAGTCTCGTAAGTACTAGAAAAATCATAAAAATATTATAACCAATATGCAAAATATTATGCTGTTTAAAGTATAGCCAACCTATAAAATCAAAATTTTGGGTGGGATAAAGCATCTCATTACAGCACCGAAAGCGGTGTTATAATGAAGTCATTATGAACGCAAAATAGATAAAAAATTTAATGAGTGGTTTTTCGCATTTTACATTTTTTTATGTGAGTATGAGTATAAGAGACGTATAATCGGCCCCATTGCCTCATGTGGCGCCCTTTTTAGTTTTTTAATTAAAAAATAAAATTTGTGGTCATATACCTCCTAATCCGATATAAGATATAAGAATTATTGTAATCTCGAATATCTCGGAAACGATTTATTTTATCAAAGTTTGAGAGGTATACCTCTTTAATAGCCCAACTATGAAATTAAAAATATATAAATTTTTACGACACTGTGTTCTCTCAAACAATTCTAATTATGTATGAATATGTGTATTGGTAGTGAGTGAATGTTCTCAAAATATTACCTTCCAAGTCTACCATAGTAGAGAAAAACATCTTCTGAACATCTGAAACAAGCTATCTTGGAAAAGATATCGATAAGATATATTTTATCTTCTGTCGGCCATTTCAAAGAAATCTTTTTCACTAAGGGAGGCATAATTTTAACTAAATAATGTTGTAAGCATACCTTCTGCTTAACATTAGCCCAAACATTTCCTTTTGCCTCAGGTGATTGTGATGGCCAATGGTTTGTCTTAATTTAGAAGGAGGTAAAAATTTTACTTCGATTGTGAGGTTATATTTTCCTACAGGATTCATTCTTTTTTCACCGATGCATTAAGGAAATTGTGGTCCTCTATAGAACTATAATAGAAGAACTAGCTTTAAATAATTAAAAGTTGGCCTGTTTATGCTCTTGCTTGACTAGCAGTATGCTAATTTAGTTTATTTATAACTTATAGGTTATATAAGTTATCGCGAGCATACCCTTCCTTGCTAAATAAGATGTCTTAACGTAAAATGTTTTAAAATTATTTGTGGTATTGCGTGACTTTTGTTTTAAAGTTAAATGTAATCAAGATCAATATATTTTGTGATACGCCTTGGACGAATAATAAGGGCATTTATGATGCGCCAACTGGCAAGATAAACAAATTCCCAAACTATCGGGTCGGGAGTTCGCTAGAATGTCAAAGTTATAGACAATCGACTAATGCCGGGACAAAACGGTTGCGTGGAATTCCTGCAAGCCATTGTCGCGGCCCGTGATTAATGCAGTTAGAGTAAACTTTAGCTCTTCCTACCTTACGCCTCTTAACAAAGCTGCAAGTGCGAAATTATATGCAACTAATGAAGTGTTGTTGCAGATTTGAAACACGATTCTCTTACTTTGTTTGCAGCCATCCCAAACAATGTTTATTTTAACCCTGAAATGTATAAACAATATACACACAATTTAAATTATCGAGATTTATTTTTAGACCAGTGCAGAAGCCTTTAAAAATGGTAACAAGAGAAAAAAAATAACAGTAGGATGAAACCCATTGGAAAAGGAGGGGAATATAATAAAAATTAAAGGAAAAATAAATTACGGGCGATCTGAGTTCGGGAAGTGGGAGGGGGGGGTTTTAAGGGTAAAAAATGGTTTATCTCGATTTCCGGCAAAACTACAAGTCCTATGGAAAAAAGTTAAATGTCAAAGTTGTAGGTAATAAAAAGATCTACAACTTTTGTAATAACAATTTTTTCACATAACCTCAAAATTTATGTGAAAAATTCAAAACACCAAGTTTTTGGTTTTTTATTTTTATCTTTTTCAAAAAAAAATTTTTTTCAACGAAATTTGGTGAAAACTTAAGTTTTTATGTCCCAAATACACTGTAATTTATTTGATTTGAAATATTTATTATTTCGCCTTATTTTGACTTAATATCAAAAAAGCACCCTAATTTTCAATCGAAAATTCTCGCGTCAAAATATCAGCTTTTTTCAAAAAGTCGGTGTGCTTTTTGTTCGATGAACTCTCTACTTTCTGATGGTGTAAAAAAATATACATTACTATGGTAAATGTTCTCAGAAAATACAAAACATATTATAATGAATAACGTAATCAGAATGAAGTATCTAAATTCAATAGTATGATTTACATGTATTTTTATATTTTATGAGATTTTCTGACATAAATGTTATTAGAATTTAATAAATAAACTTTTTAACTAAAAAAATTGCAACAATCACATTTTTTTGATGAAATTGTACATAATGATTAAAATAAATTTTCGAATTCGAGTTTTTTTCGTTATTCATTATAATATTTTTTGCATTTTCTGAGAACATTTACTATATTAATGTATATTTTTTTTACACCATCAGAAAGTAGAGATTTCAAAGAACAAAAAGCACACCGACTTTTTGAAAAAAGCTGATATTTTGACGCGAGAATTTTCGATTGAAAATTAGGCGAAATAATAAATATTTCAAATCAAATAAATTACAGTGTATTTGGGACATAAAAAGGTAAGTTTTCACCAAATTTCGTGGAAATTTTTTTTTTTTTTTAAGATAAAAATAAAAAACCAAAAACTTGTTTTTTTGAATTTTTCATATAAATTTTGAGGTTATGTAAAAAAATTGTAATTACAAAAGTTGTAGATCCTTTTATTACCTACATAGGACTTGTAGTTTTGCCGGAAATCGAGATAAACCATTTTTTACCCTTAAACCCCCCCCCCTCCCACTTCCCGAAGTCAGATCGCCCGTAATTTATTTTTCCTTTCATTTTTATTATATTCTTCTCCTTTTCCAATGGGTTTCATCCTACTGTTATTTTTTTTGGTTTCAAAAATTATCGACCCTGGTCTATTTGGTATCAGTTAGTTTTTAAAGAAATGTTAGAAAAATAAAAGAATTTTGTTTGGTAACTGCTTCAAAGGTAATTATGGAATAAGTTAAATTTGTGTTTAGTGTTAAAGGTGCAGTTTACAAATTACCTCCTTATTTATACTATAGTTTATCAAAAATTAAAGGTGCTACCTTTTTAACTGGATATTAAAATTTCTTGTTCTATTGCTGAATATCTCTTTCGTTCAAAAGTTAAAATTTTACACAGGTTTTATCAAATCATGTCATTTTAGTTCATGTAAGCTCTTGGAAGAGAATTTTCAGTATTTTAACTAAATTTGTAGGCTCAAACTAACCTCTTTATTTTAATTGTTTCAGCTTCTTATCACACCGTAAACCTGGACGACGGTACTGGAACTGGGACCTCAAAGCTCCAGCTTACGCTCTCCAGGGGCGACCTGAACGCCCGTTTCGAGTGCAGGGTGGAAAGCCCGGCCCTGGACCAGCCAATTATCTCGTGGATTATGGTCGACATTAACGGTGAGTTGATATCGTACAACGTGCCCCGCCAATTATTTCTGCAATCCTGCAGATGCATGCATTTTCATTTTCGGCACATTTTTCTTATATGAAAAAATTATCCGTAGAGACGTAATAGTTTCTCCGCTCTGAACTATAACCAATTATACAGTGCATAGTCAGTGCATTTAAAACCTAATCTAAAAGTTTAAAAGCGCGAAGTGAACTGCCACCCCACCTGTCAAACCATTTTCTAATCTTTGCCTTAAATAAACAAACTGGGAGACCTTCTCGAGTAAAAATAAATGAATACTAGAAGCAGTATAAACAATTACAAATGCAATTTCTTAATTGTTAAATAAGAAAAGAAAACCTAAATACAATTTTTACCACAACAAGAAAACAACGAATAGTTCCTACTACTTAATTTAAATTAAATAATTATAGGGATTGCTTGGGTGAGTAAACAAAAACTATTCTAAAAAACTTTAAACCTAACCCAATAATGACTTGCATTCGGTAAAATTTGTCTCACCATTAGCGACTGCCTTTCCGCTGAGACAAAGAGCGAATAACTCATAACGAGTCATTTTAAGTGTTTCTAAGAGTGCGGGGAAAGTAAAAACAACACCCCAGTGGGGCAAACAACTGCGTGCAGCAGATTCCAGCAGACCGGACAGAGACCCGGATGAAATACAAGACTAGCAAGGATGTCCAAGTAACGTACTAATAACCCATGCCTCATTCATGAACCCCAATTGAATGGGGTTATTACTAATACTCTGGTTGAGGGGTTATACTTAGTTTTGGGTCAGTTCAAGGCCCCCAAAAACCAACTGCTGTCCCTCCTTGTCCTACACTCCACTAGCCTAAATCGGGAGTATGGTCTGCCCGGCGACAAAACTCCGGGAATGTCCTTTACCATCGACACTGTCATCCACAACCTCCTAGGGAAGATGCCAGGGGTGAAAATTCGGATCCTCCAAATACAGGTAACGCTGTGTAGTGGCGGGATACGTATAGAACCGAAAGGTAGTAAAATAACCCTAGGCGTAGCCGATGGGGCCTTCCATACGTTCTTATACTCATACTTATATGAAAAATTTATCCGCGAGAAGATTTGAGATATGGGAATCGTGTAAAGAAAATGTTGAAAATCGACGTTTTAGGTAAATCTATTAAACGGTTTAAATTATTAGTTTAACTGCGCTATACCAATTATATTTAATATTATAGCAGATATTAAAGCAAAGTGATTTGTAGACGAATCTAAATTGATATTAAATTTGAAATTTTAGTATCAATTTCAACAAAACGTGTCTCAAATAAATTAAATGGTAAAATGTGCAATTTAGTCAAATAAAAGTATAATATCAAATTGAAATTGGATTTTTAAAATTACATTTCTATTTTACAACAGAAACTAAAAAATGATGATATAAAAGTTAAATAAAATTATTATTGGCTACCAAAAAATATTTTTAATGTAAATCAGGAGTCTAATCCAAATACAGCAAACTACAATATTATTTATTAGCAAACTCCATCACAAACATTTTCGTGATTATTTTTGACTTTCCTAAACACCGATAAAAACTTCGAATTTCAGTCAGGTGTACTATACGTTTTAGCCAATCAAAACATTGTATGGTGGAAATAATTTACTTTACATTTGACATTTATGTTTATTGTTAAGGCATTGTTTGGGCATTGTTGTTACGTTAAAAAAATAATCCAACGAATAAAAGATGAGATATGGGTGAATATTTCAAAAGTGTAATTCAATCGGTTCTGGCTTGTTATTTCAGAAGTTAATATCCCACTGAAAATACTTTATGGCTAGTTTAATTAACTATTTTTACTTGATTCCTTACTTATTATAGTCTAAACGAGCATATATAGTAAAAAATATATTTTAATTTTTGTGTCGCAAACGTCATTGCCGTGCCTTGTTTACATTCGAAGAACAACAACATATTATTTTCTTACATTTATTTACAAATTAAATCTTGCAATATCCTGTCTAACACATACGAAGAAAATACAAAATAATACAATGCAAGCAAGAAATTGCATTTTAAAATGTTAACTTTTCTTTTAATGCCTTTTATACTTTGTTTTCATCCATGAGCGTCATTGCCGTGGGTACTTAAAAAGTGTCTAATTTCATATTTAAATACGCGATACATTCGGAAAAGTTTTCGAACGTCTGATATGGAAATATCCTGCCTGTCTAACGTACACTAGCATATGTCAAACCATAAAGTTGTGACGTACGCAATAGATAAACTTCTCTAGACACTTGTTTTTATTAAGCCATGAGCAAAGCTTGCGAGCGTAATAAAACTCATAATTAAAATGGCGTTTATAAAACTTTATACAAAATATACTATAAGGTCATTTGAAGAGTAAAAATTAATTAGTGTGCTTTACATTGCCTACGTTAATTAATATGTTAATTCCGAATACCAAGTAGCAAATGTTTCAGTAATGTGGCTGTAATTCCCAAAGCATTAATTAACCGAAACCTTTCTATCGGCAATTTTATATAGACAGAATCAATAGCTTTTATCTAAATAATTTACACTGAACAATCGAAACGTTGACCGAATCTGTTACCCTTTATAAATCGAACGTTAAGGTTAATGAGACAAAATTAACAGCGTCAGTGGAACAGAAAAAACGGAGCCGGATAAATAGTTTCGAATTAAGCAATAATGTGTTTGGTATGCTTGAAACTGCCATCGCGCCAATGTTGGAAACTGATTTGTTTAGTGAATTCGTCCATGTAAAAGAAACTAATTAATTGACCTATAACTATTTGCCTTTGTTGGGAACGACCAATAAAATTAAAAAGTGTCCACCATTGAAATTTTTATCCTAATTATAAAGATTGAAGTGTGGCTTCACGTTCAACCCCTCTTTTGTTTTGTTTGACGAAGGTTTTGCTGATTTCCGAAATCTCTTTTTTAAGGATTATGCCCCTTAGTATTTTGAATGCCAATCAACGGGGATTTACTGCAGATAAAGGTGGAAATTTCAAAACCCTATTTTTTCGATTAATATTTAAATAAGTCAATTTTTTTTGAAAATCTGTTATTCAAATTGTATATGGCAGCCGCTGATGTTTTGTTAATACAAAGCGTGATATTTTTTCATGTTCCCCATTTAAATTTAGTACAATTTTACAGTAATTTAGTTGAAAGATTATAAATATTTATTTTTTTATGGTTTGTTGAATTGCAATAATTTTCTGTTTAATAATATTTTTTCTTCATATGCAGTATACACATTAGTATGAATAATGCGTTATTTAAAACAAATTTATTATACAAAGTATAAACGTTGAGTTTCTAATGCCAAACCACCCCCCCCCCCCCCACACACACACACATAAACGTTGAGTGACCTATTTCTATAGTATAACCAGTACTTTAACGTATACAAAACTGTTAAAAATAGATGTGACTTGATAATTAAAACTTAATTTAGAACAATACAGAGTGTCTTAAACTTATGGTAAAATACATCTTTTTGTTTAGACCTGTACCTACGTCTATTTTATAGTAATTTTTAAAATGTGAGCGATTCTCCATTAATGTATCTACAATATTCTTTAATATTTGTTTAAATCCTAAATCAAATAAAAAAGTTATTTGCAATTGAAATTCATCGAAAATGTGTGTGGATCGAATATTTTGCCTGTGAGTGTATGTTAGTTACGTAAAACTAAATAAAGTAACAAAAATTGCAACAGAAATTTGTTAATCTAAAAACAAGTTTAGTTTTTTTGATGTACCGTAAAAATAAGTAAAAAGTAAAAATAAAAATAATTAAAACAGTGAAGCAATCTTTCGATCCAAAGTAAAAAGGTGTCGCGCATCAAAATAATCCTCTTTTTGCCAAGATGACGGCTTATTAGCTCGGTTGTTCTCCTGTCACAGCTTACTGCCGCAAGGATGACTTGGCGTCGGTTACGCTTTGAGAGATGCTCTCAAGGACCCGAAAGTGGGTTACCCAGGCGAAGGAAACTGTGTTTTGAAAATCAAGCACTTGCATCCTTGTCTAGAAAATTAAATAAATGTTGCCGCCTCGATCAAAAATAATAATAATAATAATAATAATAATAATTTATTAATCACAGAATTACAACAGAAAATGGTAAATATGACAGGTCAAAAAAATAAATTAAATGTATATCAAACATAAACATGACACGTTTCTACTTTAAAAAACAATAGAGACTATCTTTTCCTTAAATTCTTCTATGATGTAACAGCATGCAGACTGCAAAAAAGATTTTATGATTTTTTTTAAATTCATTTAAGGGTTTTTCTCTTAAACCATTTGGCAAATTATTATAGAGGCGAATTTCTACGAAGTAAGGAGACTTTTCATATTTTGCATGTCAATGCATTTCAATGGGGATTTTTTCTTTGATCTGGTGCTGTAGTGACACTTATTTTTATTAATTAGTTCCATTTTATTGTTATGTACCAAACAAAGAAGTTTGTATATATAGACACTTATAAAAGTTAAAATTCCATAATTTATAAAATAACATCTACAAGAATCTAGTTTCTTCCGATTAAAAATAACCCTAATGGCATATTTTTGCAAGATAAAAATTCTATTACTATTTTTAGCAAGACCCCAGGAATAATACACTTTATTAACATTTAAATTCTTATTTATAGGTTTTTGGCTAGCAAAAACATTATTGCAGAATTTGCTACATTGGATTTAGATTCATGCCTATATTTCGAATTACGGTCAATTTATCGCACAACAATTCATCGTTTGACAATTTTTCGCCGATAACATTGTAGGTAAATTTTTAACTTTTGAAATATCACAGCTAAACGCTCGGACACGCAAACATAATTTTTGGTCGTAGATTCCAAATCCGTGCTCGGTTTAGCTGTATCAGGTCTAAAAAAGTTTTTCCTATTGGAAATCCGATCCGGGGACACACTGTATTATAATTTGTAAAATAATATAATTCACCTCTTGTGCCAACAGTTTTATGCTTTTTATTTCATTTAATATAATATCCTCAATACAAAAAAAATCAGCAAAAAAACATTTTAAATTTCCCAAATTATCTAAGAAAAAACCTTAGGGACACGTGTATCTTTTGATCAATTAACTTCAAATTTTGCAAGAATTTGTTATTTTTTTTAATTTGGAACTGATGTGTGGGTCACGCCAAATTTTATTTTAAAAAATAATTATACAGGGTGTTTAAATTTATTCAGGGTGTTTCCAATATCTTTGAATTTTGACCTGATACAGCTAAACCAAGCACGGATTTGTAATCTACGATCAAAAATTAAGTTTACGTGTCCGAGCGTTTAGCTGTAATATTTTAACCTCACTGTATACAGTGTAATTTATCGCGATAAAAATTATTTTCCATGGTATGGTATACAATGTATACATACACATAATATAAATAATTTAAGGCTGTAATAAATTTAAAAACAAAATAAATACTACAAATTATTTTTAATAATTCCTAATAGTTATTACATTTGTAATCTCTTATATTTTTACTTCATTCAGGCTTTTCAGGTGACTATTCCCAGATAGCACATAATATGTCTGAAACGTTCATTAAATGTTTCTTTGCAACAAATTTCTGAAATAACTTGAAGAAACATAAAAAAACACAAAATTGTAATAAAACTATAATATCGCATAAACATATTTTATTATAAAAAATACCAATACAAAATATAAAAAAATAAACAATTCTTTAACAGCAGTCCAAATAGACAAAATGAAAAATTAATTCTTCTTATTCTAAATTCAGCATTCTTTAAAATGTTTAGGTTTCGGTAATATTCTGAAAAGAAAAATTGTAACACAAAATTTTCAAGTTCTAAAGTAAAGTAGTTTTTCTACGACCACTATGTAAAAGTCACTTTTCATGATGGCATCGTTGCTTAGAAAATGAATCTTTTCATTGGCAAGGCAAAATACGAATGTAAAGTGACATTTCTGTGTGAAAAGTGACAGGTCTGTGTGAAAAGAACCGGAAAGCATCGTTTGACATTCAGCTGTCAAAAAAGTTTTTAGGTTATTTTGTTTTGTATTTAAAAATAATAAAAAATAAAAGGGTCGCAGAAAAAATATTGTGAGAAAAGCTTTCTTCAAGCTCGTGTTAATGCACACTCGGCCTAACGGCCTCGTGGGCAATTAAAAAACTCGCATGAAAAAGTCGCTTTTCAACACTTGTAAAACAAATAACTATTATAAGAAAAATCGGACTGCTATACAGAGTGTCGCTTAAAGTTATTTTAAGCGTACAAAAATTACAAAACTTTTTTCGTGCAAGTAATTTTTGAGTTATTAAGCATTAAAGTTTAAAAACCTTGACAACGCTTTGTATTTTCTGAGCAGATTTAAGAGACACCTAAAAAGGGTTGTAATAGACACAATAGCTATTTGTGTATTAAGAGCGCAAAATGGTACATTGTCGCTCTGAGCGAGAAGTTTGACGCGCAACGCGTAGCGGAGCGCAGCTATCTCTCGAGAGCGTTGTTTCTATAATAATATTTGGTAAAAATTAAGAATTTTTGATAACCTCAAATTTGACTTTTGTGTCAAAAGTCGCAAAAACACTAAACGTTTCTTTATTATGGTTTCCATGGTAACTAAGCGATCGTTTTGGTTACTTAGTCGCTCGGCGAGTAAAAAAACGCTCGCTCCTCGGAAAAGAGCAACCTTGCGCTTTCTTTTGGAAGCGCAAATTTGTACTTTTTGCTTGGTTTTTTGAAACCCAGCCCCAGTAGCACAAAATATTGTTCCTATATGGGGCGCGTCTATGCACAATATGTTCCTATATGGGGCCAATATTGGATTTATTTTATTGACATAAAATGTTAATTTAATACATCTTGCCAATGTTTATTTAAGGACCTATATTGGCATATTATTTTTCGCCAATATATCATTAACTATAGTCAACGATGCTTTCGGATTTCTAAAAGTGATATGTAACGACACACGTTTGTTTCCAGTATAGTGGCGCAGGAACGGTTTAAAGTTGGGGGGTGGCGCAACCGACTACCATCCTTATTGTTTAGCACCAAATGGGTGAAAATAATAAAGGCCATTCTTGCGTATTACCGTAAGAATAACACGATACACACGATTTTATCATTTCATCGTAATTAAGAATAACATAGACGGTACACGATTTTTTCAAAGAATTTGGAGGGTACATTTTATATCAAGTAACCCCCCTCTCCCCCTTATCATTTGGGTGGGCATTCTCACCCCCCCGCTTCTACGCTCCTAAGTACCTACTATAAACATTTCCTGAAACAAACGTTTGTCGACACGATCGTGATATATCACTTTTAGAAATCCTACTACGTAGTAAGTACTAGGTGGATATCTTTTTTTCTTTTAATTTCTCACTCAAATTTCCTAGAATATAATGTAAAACAACTTCGGGCCAATGCGAATTTCTAATATCGGTTATATAATGTCAAACAACTTTGGGCCAATGTTGGGTTTCAATATTGGACCATGCTAGAAAAAATCTGACGAAAGATATATTGGCACAATATTATTACGAATATTGGGCCAATATCTTTGTGCTACTGCATGGGGAGCCTTTGAATTTATTTTCATGGCCAAAATGAAAAAAAATATTCACGTAGTTAGCATTGGGAAACTGAATGCATAAGATTCAATACTGCTTTTTAATAATCCATGAGGACATATGACTTTATTTAAAACACTTATAAGTGTTATTATAATAATTATAACATGTAAATTAAATTATAATGTAACATTTTTTTAAAATGTATCTATGAATTGTCGTACTATGAATTGTCCCCCGAACAATTGACTGGATTTATTTCCATGATGGAGTTCCATAAGAAGGCAAAAATTAACCGACCTTCTAAACAAGAACCCAGACAATCTAAAGGTTATTGAGGCATTAAATCCGAATCCTTAGAATTCAGGTTTTTAATGTATAAAGAAAAATTACCTTTGTTGTAAAAACGGCTTTTTCTACTTTTAGGAAAGAATTTCTTAAAAACCTGACAAATTATTATTCTTGATGAAAAGAGTTTGAAAAACATATTTTTTCACGATTTAATTAAAATAATATAATTTTATTCATGTTTCAGTGAGACCGACAAGAGTAAGCTTATCGGGGGTGAACAATCATGTCGTGCAGGGCACGAACGTGCTACTGTTTTGCGACGTGTTCGGCGCCAGGCCCGCGGCCACGGTACGCTGGTCTAACGAATCCATTCCCATCACTAACGAAAGCCTCATCGAGACCAGCTCCGAGTACAACAGGGTAAGTGAAGTGCGATAGTATAATTTGAGTGCCACATACTTTGAGAAATTGGAAGTCGTAAACTTATTTACCTTGTTAGCAAACTTTACTGCCTATAGTACATACAATTATTATTTATACCACAAGGATATTTTAAAGGAAAATAACAAAACAGTTTAAAAAAAAGTTTTCAGGGGACTTTCCCCTGCAATTAATAGTGCTTGTATTTTGTTGATAAAAGAACTTTTTAATGGCGTCCCAAAAAGGTTGAGATTATAATAAATAGAATTATATTTATTCATACCAACTACAAATTCTTTATTAATTAATTTAAAGCTTTAGATATTGATTTAATTGTAGTAATCGACAATGAATCTTTTTACATTAAGCATTTTTTAAGGAAAAGAGTAAGTGCAAAAAAAAAGTGGAGTTATTGTTTCAATATTGTTTGTATTAATTAACATGCAGAACTCGAACAATTTTTACGTTATGAGAAAATTTTTAGAAAATTCTGCACTTAAATTATTTGTATGCTAAAATGCACTTGTCCCTAAACTTAGTGGTATGCTGATGAATTAATTCTGCCTTACGTGTAGGTATTTGGGCTATGTAAAAATGAATAATTTTATGCTCTCGAGTCGAGGATTCAAATTCGAAGATTAAGTGGAAGAGAACGTTTTAAGATAGATAGTAATCAATAAACAGAAAAAACGACACGAGACGTGGCGTCATATACGGGGGGGCCTGTTTTTCTATAATAATTTTGTCGAAAATATTGCGATACTATAAAGATTTATTAATGTTTAAAACTTAAACATAAGCGGTAAACCATCAGTCAGGTTCCAGCACTTGAGAAGGCACCACGCGAGAGCGACAGCTCTTAAAACGTAAAAGTTTAAAGATTAAAACCAACAATAATTTTTAAAAAAAGTGCAAACCAATTATAGTAAAACAAACAATTTTCATAGAGTGAAAACTAAAATGGTGTAATGAGGAGTGAAGTGTTAAGGGATATGAATGAGTTAAGTGCCACCTGTCATTGGACATTGAACACAAAATCTGCAAATTAAACACGACAGATATCTTTAAAACCCTAAGAAAGGCACACTGCGTAGGCCAATAAATCTGTCAACAACAAATGCGTAAGGCAAACCCAAACGAGACCAATAATAAACACTAGACACACAGAATAAACTAACACATTTATCACTATAACCCTAACCCCCCTAAAAAAGCATAATAATCAAGCTTTACTGGATTTGTAAACATTAGATAACAGAATAATTGCGCTTGTCATTTGTTTAACTAATAAATAAATGCAATACTTAAATTTGGAATTTAAGAAAAAAAGACAAAACTCTACCACAAAACGTGCTTGGGACAAAAATTACGCAAACTTGAACAGAAGATCATTACACTACTAACGACAGACTTACCCGACTACCATCACCAACATCCCCGCGACCTGCTAATGGGCAAAACTATTACCAAAAGGGTAAGAGTAGACCAATTAAAATACTGGGCCCACGTCACTCGTAGGCAACGCAACAACATACTACAAGCTACCCTTAAACTAGACCTTACAGACAAAAAAGTCGGGAGACCATGCTTTACATTTCATGACACGTTAGCACAAAACATGCACTTCTCACAAATTAATAAGACCAGTTGGGAGCAACTAAGCAACAATATAAATAAAATAAAAAAACAACTGACATACTTTACCAAGTGCAGGAACTATCTGACCAGGACACGGACAATGACAATAACGAACAAGACGAAGACCTCGACTAGGAAACTACACCCCTGCAGCGAAATAACAATTCCAACTAGTAATCCCAAATCCTAATCTACTGGTCTAGGGGGATTCCGCGTCGTACTTAGTCTATCCCTCCCGTCCCTCCTCCTCTATACCCTACAGCATAGCATCGGCTCGGCGAACCCGAGAATTGCTATTAAAACTATTCGCATGTCGCTCTCGAGCTCCAAACAGGGGACATTACGGAACGCAATGGACACTCGCAAAATCCATTATTAAGAGTTTTGGTCAGTCTTTCGTTTTTTTTTCTAAAAAAAGTTTTTTACATGTATTCAGCCGCCGAATACATGAAAATGATTGCATGCATGATTTAGGGGGAATATAAACTAAATGCTCGAGAAGCTGCCAGAGTTTAACAAAAACGATTTCCCGGAAGGATCAGACTTGACATAACAAATAACCAAACTTTAAAGTTTCAAAATGTTAAGGCTCGTTTACATCATTTTTGTATATTTAAAACAAAATGGTCGATATAAAACCTCTTTTAAACGTCAAATTAAGGTTTTGTCAAAAATAAAATAGTGCTTTGGTCATACTAGCGAAATCTTTGTTTAAAGCCGAGAACTTTTACTAGATTCTGTGAAGCAGCATCAAGATTGCACATTTAACCATTGCAGTGTTGCCAGCTTGTGCAGCATAATGTTTGCGCTCCCGTTAACACTTTGTGACGTCACACACTGTAAATCGGTATTATTTTTCGAGTAATAGAATTTCTACAATAAGCTCGGTAGCTCGATGGAAGGGCGCCTGCTTTGCATGCGAGAGATACGGGGTTCGATACTTGGCGCCTCTATAACTTTTTTAATTTTTTTTAAAGAATTTATATACCGAAATAATACAATGTGGCCTTAAAAGCATTTATATTTAATTTTATATTAATATTTTAATTTATTTACCTTTCCTCATAATCATTTTGCTACAGTTATATAATATAAAATGTAATTAAATGAATATTCCTTCGTTGAAAAATTTTTATTCAATGGGGCGGGGGGGGGGCAATGGGGCGGGGTCGGTTGGGTTGGGTTGTTGGGTTTGGGTTGGTTTCGAAGCGGGCGGACCATAGAAAGTATCCTTAAATGCGATCTTAGTTGCATATATTCAAGTTCTGTTCCAACTGGCAACACTGTAAATGTTGAATGTGCAATCTTGATGCTGCTACACAGAATCTAGTAGAACTTTTCGAATGCCCCTCGTATACTAATATACTAGTAAATATTCAAACAATTGAAAATGTGAACGAATAAATTGGCTTAACCACTACTTACACGTCTAAGTGTAAGTCAACTTTGAGTATATGTACTCCTGGAACAAGTTACCAACTTTTCGAATACATTACCAAGTGCTTAATGCTTAATTTACAAATTAGTCATATCAACTATTGTTTGCTCTTAAACTTTAACAAACAAAATTTAATTAAAAAGTTTATTTCTTAATTCCCTTAATTGAAAGTGCAAACCCATTGATAATATTCAAGAGAGTACGTACCTACTTCATCTAAATTTGAGATTAAAACTTTGTTTTGCGGTTTACAACATTAAATTAAACGCATTAAATTATATTATTTAGTTAAGTGAACAGGTCAAAAAGCTACATATAGATAGAACATATCTGTGAAGTTCCTATAAATAACATTTGTTTTTCTGACTGCGCCATAATGCTGTTGGTAACATTTTACTGGAAGGCTGTAGCTGTGTAAATAAAAGCTATGAATATTATTTAGGAATTCGTTGGTGTGATAAAATGAGCCTTAAATTAAAAGATATGGGCCCTGGGGTAAGGTAGAGAAACAATTCTTAATTCCACCATCAGATACGGCCATAACTCATATCTAGAGACATCTTTTGCCTCTAATCTTTACTTGAGATCTCGCTCAAACGGATGGCCACTAATACCGGTTTTAAGTTGTTCCGTTTCGTTTGCTTTTTATTTGGATTAAATTTAGGGTGGGTTCAGATAAAAGTTTTATTACAAAGTTTATTACCATGGGGAATTTCTAAAAAAGGTTAAATAAACTAATTTATATCTAATAAATGCAGTGAGAAAAAGGATCCTTTTCATAGCATAACTTTTATTAAAAGATCTAAGCTAGAAGCTAATTAAGCTCCTATTAAAAATAAAAGATAACGAAATAAATTAAAAAACCCAAACTCCATTATGAATGCAAAATAATATAACTTCGGCAAAGTAAACTAAGAACAAATGATTTATGAATGTAATTATAACTTCCTGGCAAAGAACTGCAATCGATCCAAACTATTTATAACGCTCTTATTAATTCATATCTTAATTAGATGCCTCTAATTATATAAAGTTTTGCCGGATAAGTAGAACAAATTTGTAGTTAATTATTATTCACTGCTTAAAAGCGAGTCTATCTTATATTAAATCTTTTTGATTTATGTTTACTCTTGGAAAATAGGTATTCGGATGAAAGGCGAGGACCAAGGACTCTCAACTATTGTATAAAGCAACAGGAGGTTTTATCGCATAAATCCTCAGTTAAAGGATAAAAAGTTAAAATGAAAAATATAATTATTTTATATTTTTGAAGATTTTTCTAACCTATTAATTAAAAAGAAAATAGTAGACTTACCTCAAAGTGTATACATATTAAACGTTTTTAATGATGTATATTTTAAAAAATATATCAACCCATAAATGTTTTAGGTCAATGGAATCACGACGCAAATAATTGAAGAAGTAAGTTGGCGTATGTTTTAGCTGTGTTTGCATGTTTCCACTTGCTTTTTTCCGATCAAAAAGGGTTTCTAGTTAAGGGCAGACACTCTGCGCCCTTTATCCATCCGCAGAACTTAGAACCACGGAGCTTTCAGCAATTTGCACTTAAATTACTTAGACAATTTTCTTTCAGCGGCTATTAAATAAATCCGTATGAATTGCGTTCAAAAGAAAAATCAACGCAAGCTGCTGACTTTAAAGGCCAAAAGGTTTTTTTGGTAGAACTATTTTGCTCTGTGTAGTCTTTTTCATGAGTGAACTTCATTTAAAATACTGAAACTTTTTACGGCAACTTAAACTGCAAAGGCTGTTTTTATTGTCGGCATGTCGGTAGGCTTACATGGCTTTTAATTTGTTGCATGTTCGAAAATAATTTAAAATAATTTTGCTAATTTTGCCTGCTACACAAGCATAAATATAGTAAAGAACGATTAAAACTTCCTATAGAATACGTAGGAATATT